ATTTAAGAGTCATCAGAATATATATGGTATTTTAATTTGATACCAAATGATATTCAGCCAGTAAGACTTAAAAATCTTTTTTTTTTGGTTGGATTAAGATTTTGAGCAACATACTGAAATAAAAATGAAATGACACCTGGGATTTGTTTCAAAATAATGGGGTAGGGGGAAAAATGAGGTATGAAAGAGACATGACATATAAGTTGATTTTTTAAGTAAACTTTTTTTTCTTATGTGTGTGGGTGTTTTGCCTACATGTCTGTCCACTATATAAGTGCCTGGTATCCACAGAGGTCAGAAGAGGGGGATCAGATCCCCTGGGATTAGAGTTATGGTTGTTTGTGGGCTACCATGTTAGGTGCTGGAAATTGAACCTGCGTCCTCTCAAAGAGCTGCCAGTGCTTTGAGTCACCAAGCCATCTCCAACCCCTAAATTGATTGTTTAAAAAAAAACAAAAAACAACACCTCACCATATAGCCCTGACTAGTTTGAAACTCATGATTATATTATCATCCTGATTCAGCATTCTGAGTACTGGGATTATAAACTGTACTATGTCTAGAAAATGGAAAACATGGCTACACTGGTAAGTAGATATGTACATGTATTTACTTTTGCATATGGTTAAATTTTTCTACTCTAAGTCAAGTAGGGGTGATGCACACCTTTAATCCCAGTACTTGGGAGGCAGAGGTAGACATATTTCTGTGAGTTTCAGGACAGCCAGGGCTATAGAGAAACCCTATCTTGAAAAAACCAAAACTGATAATCCACCCATCCATCCATCCATCCATCCATCCATCCAAACAAACAAACAAACAAAATTCTCTTTAAAGACACGTGCCTCAGTAACTCTCTTCAAAGGGGTTCCACCTCATGGCTTCATCACCTTTTAGGAGAACCTTGGGCTGGTCACTCAGTTTTAATACAGGGGCCTTTTGGAATAGATACAAGACCCAAATACAGTACAGTGTGAAGACAGTGATCTTTACATGATATCTATTTGATCTTACATGGATTGTAAGTGCAGAACCATTGAACTATTCTGCTTTTTCTTATATTTGGCAGTACTTTACGAAGTACAGTATGATATATATACTCATACCAAATATGTATACAACATAGATTAAACGAAATTAATAAATCCATCATTTTGATCCACTTTTTTGTGATGAGGCTTAAAATACATTCCTAAAGAAGTTTTGAAATACACACTGTATTAACCATTGTCATCATGCAGCACAATGGACCACCAAAACTCATCCTAATGGAAATCCTATTGTACCTGGGACTAGCAGCCCCTCTCCCCAATGCCCTAGCTTCTTTTGAGCTACTATTCCCTTCTATGAGATCAACTTGTTAACACACAATTCATTACCCCTTCTATTTGCTTTTCTCCTCCTTTTGCCTGCAATGTTAACTAGATGACAAATGAAAAACAATCTCTTTCTCCTTCCCTCCCCGAGAGAGAGAGAGAGAGAGAGAGAGAGAGAGAGAGAGAGAGAGAGAGAGAGAGAGAGAGAGAGAGAGAGAGAGAGAGCGCTGAATGGGCCCGAGATGGCCTTGAACTCACAATCCTGTTGACCTGGCTTCCTGACTGATGGAGTTACAGATACATGCTGCTACATTCAGCCTTCTTATTTGCCCTTTAACATCTGGCTCCAATTTCATTTCTGAGAAGTCGATTTAAGCTGATTTAATCACTAGGTGTTTTGTGCTACTTTATCATTTTGTGCATGGAGCACTTACCACTTTGAGGAAAGAGGAGCTACTATCACTTTTAAACATCTAATATGCTAGGCCCCGGGCAGTCTACTTTATGTCGTCTCATGAAATGTTCAAATTAATTCTGTGTGATAAGTATCACTATGGCCCTATACACTGAAGGGCCAGAGAGTCAAAGCTGGAGTCATACCGGAGTTCATTATTTCAGCAATGTCCTTCTCCCTATTTGTTCTAAGGCTAATGGCACATATTCAATTTATATCTTAGGAACAGTCAAATAAATGTCAGGAATAGTCTAATACCACAATGAAAGGCTCTACAAGTCTCTCATCTTTCAGGCCCTGCAGTCTAGCCACTAGAAGGATATTTTTCATTCTTCATTCTTTACAGACAATTTAGATTGGGTATCTTCATTTACTTATAGGAAAAGTGTATTTTCATTTCTTTTAGCTGTGTGTTCCCAGGCATGGGATGGTAATTTAATAATCACACTGCCATCAAGCCAGAAACACAAATGTTGACATTTGATTGTAATGTTTTCCCTCTCAAAGTTGCTTCAAGTAAATATCAATGACAATCCAAGTAAATGAGGTAATTATTTAAAAAGCAAATGGAGTATAGTTTTCAATATACATATTCATGCTTTAAACTTTCCACAAGGCTAAAAATAACCTATTGAATACTCCTTATTCTACTCACTCTGGGACACTGTAAAATGAGAAAATTTAAATTTGTCTCTAAGAACAGTTTAGTATCCCATCATGGCGTTATTTATGTACTGTTAGAACAGTAGCAAGATTAATGATTCTACACCATCCTGTTGGGTATGCAAAGTCAGGATGTACCTCAGACCAAGTGAATCAGAGCCCTGAGGAGCTGCCGGCGGTGGTGGTGCACACCTTTAATCTCAGCACTTGAGAGGAAGAGACAGGTGGATCTCTGAGTTTGAGGTCACCTGGTCTATAAAGCAAGTTCCAGGACAGCCAAGGCTACACAGAGAAACCCTCTTTCAAAAAAACAGAAAACAACAACAGCAATAAAGAAACCCGGGACTGGAGGTTAAAAGGTTAAGGACCTCTTCCAGAGGTCCTGAGTTCAATTCCCAGCAACCACATGGTGGCTCACAAGCATCTGTAATGAGATCTGGTGCCCTCTTCTGGCCTGCAGGGATTGCTAGGCCAGAACACTGTATACATAATAAATAAATAAATAAATAAATAAATAAATAAATAAATAAAAAAAGAAAAGAAGCCCCGGGAGTGGAACCTGTCAGTGTGTTTTAACATCCCTCTGGATAACTGTGAAACAGTTAAATCTTAGTACTGATGAAGGAAATCAACTGTGTCATTTGAATTCATGGACATTTTTACAAAGAAATTAAACACTCAATACTAATGGGTCTGCCACACAGAAGACTTGGGTTGCCTCAAGTCCACATATAATATAGTATAGCTACAGGAAAGAGTTACAAAAGAAAGGCTACACTACTATTCAGCTGTTTTCCAAGGTCTGGATACATTTACCACAGTCATACTTAAATAGAAGCAAAGTCATTTATTGATCTGTAAGAGCTATATACTATTCCCTCTTAGGTAACTCTATGTGCTATTTAAGTGGCATCCTTTCTAAATGAAACAGGAATTCGAAATGCATGCATTATGTTACAACTGGAGCATGACAGGCTATCACTAAGGATGTAACAGGGAGCACAAAAATCAACTGATAAGAAGGATGTTTCTCCCTGGAAAGCATTGACAACTACACGTAGGTATGAGAAAGGATCATTTTAGTAAAGAACATGTAGAAAACTTCCTGGCATTTTGCTGGGAAAATTGCAGGCACCAAGTGTTCATTTTCCCTTACATGTTTTTATAGGAAACTGGTGATAAAGTCTGTCCTATCAATCAGATGTTTCTATATGTGCCAGAGAGGAGGCCAAGCTGGATAGAGAAAGTTTACTGTGTGTCGGGAGGGAAGATGACTCAGAAGAATGAAGTATTTGGGGCACTTGTTCAAGACTAAAACGAATAAGGATGAAGAAAGAAATCCTACTTGTCACAAACTTTGGATAAATGTACTTGTTTAACTGACAGTTAATTAACTTTGTTTATAATAGTAACAAGAAAGAAAAACAGTGTCCCTACATATAAATATTTGTATAAATGAAAGCAGACTATATATACATGTATACATATATACATCATGTATGTGCACACATGTGGATATTATGTGCACAGTTCTGGACATTGTGCGTGCGTGTGTGTGTGTGTGTGTGTGTGTGTGAGAGAGAGAGAGAGAGAGACAGAGACAGACAGACAGACAGACAGACAGAGAGACAGACAGACAGACTGAGGCCAGTTCCTTACATACGCTATGCAAGCACTCTATTGCTGGGTTACTTCTCCAGTCCTTTGTTTGATCTCATGTTCATTAATGACATAGCATTTTAGGAAAAAAAAGTTCTAAAGTGAGACAGATCAAGATGTGAATTCTAGCTCTTCTAACTACTAACTTAACAATTCTGGTCAGTTCTCTAATTTTCAGTTCCTCATCTGATGAATGCAGTTAATTTATAGTGTTTTAGTATGATTTGAGAAAAATACTTGGGATGTACCATGTAGAGAGCATGTTATTAAAAAATAGTTACTGAGGTATTAAAGAAAACTAACACCTAGAGAACTCACAGCCTGCTTGGGTGATGGGAGGAGTGTACTTCTTGGTCTCAGTATCAATAAAGCAGCTTTTCTTATTTCTGCTTACTCTCTGCTCCATACTTTCTCTATATTTGAAAATAGGATTGAAAAGAGACAGCAATAAAAAACTAAACATTCACTTAGGTAATACATCTGAGGATAACAACTTGGTAAAAGCCATAAAGAGTTGCTTGGAGTTTTATTTCATGCATAGGAGGGAAGGAACATTCATTTTGCTTCTTCCTTATACCATCTCAGCATCCAAAACATATTATACATTGACATTACAATGCTTTGGATTTGCTTTTCTATGTTGAAGCCCCCTGCATTTACCAGGATGTGGTGCACTACTTTAACTAGAGATTCAGGGCCATAAACCTTGTACAGAGCAGTGAGATCACTTTGATAATGTTCTAATCTTGGAATGTAGTTATCAAGATGGATAATGACCGCGCAGTACTACTTACAAATGGAAATGGCTTTTGTGCAATCTGAAAAGATATAAAGGAAAACTTAGCACCTGAAAATGTACTTAAAATATTTTAATATTTTCCTACATTCCACGAGTTTAGTTTACATACCTGCAAGCTTTGTCAGGAATCTGAGATGGAGAAGAATGGCTACTTTTCTTCTCTTCAGAAGTCTGGAATAACACATCCTCTGTTCTTCCTTTCTCTGGCCCAGCCTTGCTTTGATCCACACTGAGCTGGCCTTGGTCAGGGTCACACCTGTACATGAAGACAATAGCAGGCTTCTCATTGGACTCTCCTTTTGCCTCTGTGAACCAGTGATGGCGCTGGACTGGAGGAGGCGGCAGCATGTGGATGACTGTTCCATCCAGGCCCACCAGCTTCCCTTTCTCTCGCTCTTTCTCTTTCTCCTCTTCCTCATCTGCTTTCCGACGGCGGAAGAAGCTTTTAAATGATATCCAACGTTTAGGTTTTGCATCAGCTGCTCTCCTGCTGCCTTCAGAATGCAGAATTGACTCAGCTTCTGTTGATCTAGTAGGACTGGTTGGCTTGGTCCAATTGGTAAAATGCCTCTGCAAAAGGTTACTTGCATGGTAAGGGGAGGAAGTAGACCGTGGTGGGGGAAAGGGAGGTGGTGGCTCACTCTGGGTGCTGGTCACTAATTTGGAAGGAGGGGAAGTGACTGTCTTCGTGGATGGATCTTTCTGAATTTTGGTGGTGGGGTTTTCTGTGGTCTGATGTGCCTCAGCATTCTCACTAGATTGAGATGTAAAGAGAGATTTGGGTCGGACTGGTGTATTTTTCGGTATACTCTTTGTAGCATCTGCATCTGGAGGAATGGCATAGAGCTCTTCCACACTGCAAGCCTTAGGGCTAGATTGAGGTGCTTCTGGAGGAGTCTGGGGGGGCTGGATAGACGCCACAATCTGACAAAGCACGGCACTTGCTTTCTCCCTGGTGCCTGCCACCTGAGACCCTTGTCCGCCTTCTGTTTTGGACACAGGCTCTTGACTGGGTCTCTGGATTTTTGCTGGGGAGCTGTGGCTGGAACTATAGCTTCTTTGTGGAGAAGACTGACCTCTGTTGAGACAATTGTTAAACTCCTGAACCTTCTGAGCTACTGAGCCTCTTTTACGCTCTGTGCTGTTGGAAAAGCCTTTAGCTTGGGGACAGTCTGGGAGCTTGCTAGTGGCGTTATCAGACACTTTGCTGTCAGTTTCTATTTCTTCATAAGTATGGCTTATTACACTTGTGGTTTTTTCTTTCACTGAGAGTTCTCCACTTGTTCCCAGAAAACTTTTGTAGATGGCGAGATTGTCATATGCATTTGGATTAATAACAATGGGAACTTTAATAGCATTTTTGGAACTCCGAGCATAGGATGGCTCATCGTGAATGATAATGGGGAAAGGTGGCATCCCAGCATTGTTGTAACTATTAAATTTTATTTCAGACAAATTAGGTGACTTAACAGGGATGGTTTTGGAGGAAATGTTTGTAGCTGTGGGTGAGGTGGGTGCTGATTTATGGCAGTTTTTCCTTGGAGGGATATTTGGCCCAGTTCCCCCAGTACTTAATTCTATTTTAGGGATCTTTTGTCGTGGACTGGTGCTTGAAGTCCACACCTCCTGGTATCGGATTGCACTAGATTTTTTGAAATGGGCATTTATTTGTCCTGGTGTCAACGCAGGTGATGTTACTGGAGAGTTTGGAGTAGACGATGAGCCTTTTATCTTGGGGCGCCCAAGGTGCTCACTGGCCATGGCTGCTGACACATCCACAACAGTGTATGGCTTACACAGCGGCTGCTCCAGATTCACTACTCGGTAGGGCTTTGTTTGTTCTTCTACTGGGACGAGGCTGATGGTGACTGCTTGGCCAGCGATATCTGTAGAGGCTTTGTTTTCTGATTTCTCAGTTTGTACTGCGATTTTGCCATCCTTCTCCTCTAAGCGTAGAGCTAGGACTGCTTTGTGTGTCTCTGGAACTTTTGCTGAGCTTTTGGAAGTCAGTGGTGAGTCCTTCTCCTCATTATTACCAGGTGGACTTTCGTTATTAGACTCAGATTCTGTCATGTCTTTAGAATCTCCTGGGTCACCAGGTGATAGCCCCCCATTACCAATCTTCTGGGATAAACTACTGGCTGTTTCAGAACGTGACTCTTCTGTAAAAGAGGAATCTGGTGATGTGGAGTCAGATGATACCATGCTCTGAATGCTTCCTTGCCCATAGGAGACCCCAGAATTTTCCCCATAACCATTAAGTATTTCATCATAGCTGTCATCGTAGTCTACAGCACAGATTCTCTGCAGAGACTTGTTACGTAAGGGGATAGTATTCCATTTTTTGCTCACAAAGAATCGAACAGGAGATAGAGTGTTTGCCCTGAAGTTAGCAAAGCGAGGCTGCCCTCTCATTCGAATCTCCATGGCTAACAGTTCTTCGTCACTCTCATCCCAGCTCTCATGCTCCTCTTCCATGTCCCTGAAAAGCACATCTTCCTCACTCTCGTCACCACTTGAAAACTCGGGGTAGCAGAACCTGCCCCCTTCATTGCTGATGACCTCTGTGCTCCCACTCAGAATAACGTGCTTGCCCTGAGAATCCTTTATGCTCCCTATCATGCAACTTGGTGGGATCTTTCTTTCCAATGATCGTTTGTAGCAATCATTTATTCTTCCTAAGAATGTTTCTCTGGAGTTTGTTTCATTTCCTCTTACCTGAGGGGTTGCATCCAGACCCGCTATCTCCTTTAACACTTCAGTTAGTCCATTATTGTTACTGGGAATCTTCTTTGCACTGTCATTATTGCCACACTGCTGAGGAACACAGCCAAAACCTTCACTATCACCTTCAGAATTGTTGTTAAGTGGTTTCTGGCTCAAAGAAGTCTTGTTTTGGTTCCATCCCAGGATGACTGGTTTGTTCTCACAGTGTTCTTGGATGCTAAGCTCACCACATACACTGTGCCCATCTGCCACCATCATAGTGGGCTTCACAGCTATGGTGGGTTTCTTAGCCACAGGGGGCCGGAAATTCCCAGTGTTCCTGACACGATGGTTGTTACTGTGATTGGCATTAGTTTTCACATTGCCGTGGGTGTTGGGTGTCTTTTCAGAGTCTGGAGGAAGCTGGTGCAAGCTTTTAGGTTTAAAGCAATTCTTGCATTCGCCAGGTTTCCAAACGTGTTCAGTAAAGGTGTTACAAGCAGACATTTTTAAAAATAGAACTTCACAGACAATGCTGTTTCTTCAGTGCATAGCAAGACTTGCATTTGCATCTGTTAGTTTTCACTTCCCTGTGTTGTCATAGCAGCTCTTCTAAGTATGATCAATCTGTGGGGGAGGAGGGGAAGGAGAGAAAAAAAATCTCAATGCAAAAGGCACTATGAGAGCTACCATTATGAATGATGTGGAAAATAACTAGCTTTACTTCTAAACTTTTCTCCAGAAGATTGAGAAACAAAACAAAACAAACTAATCTGGGGGGCTTTATAATTTTCCTTTAGTTAACCAGTATCTTGGAAACTTCTTCTAACTACAATGTATTCATGTATATGTAATTTTTGGCTTGACACATGTATAGGAATAATATTGTGACCTCCTTTAGTATGTGTGGTATGGAGTCAGGCGTGGGTGTGCTGGGAGGGAACCTGGTGGTCAAGCACAACAGGCAAATGAGCCACTGAGTTACTCTCAACCCCCTGCATTTGCCTTTGATACTGCTCTTTCTGCATCAATCATTCTGCTTAACATTTCTTAGTCCCTATGGGTTCTTCTTTCATCCACCCTTAAAATGTTAGCTACTTTTATAGACTCTTCAAAGTCAATGTATTAAAAAAAAGTCCTATCTGTCTACTCCATTTCTCAACTCTAACCAATGTATATCTTCTAACCAGTCTTCCTTCACATACCAAACCACCTTTATATTATACTTTAGCTAATGACACCATCATCTACCTAGACAGCTATGTTTCATATCAAACGTGACTGTTTTTACTTCAAACTCAAGTTAGTTTTTCCACTTTTATCCCCTCACATTTCACTGGACCCTAGTCTTGCTATTGCCAGACATTGGCAGCAGTTCAGATACTCATCATCTTTGGTCTAGATTACTGGAATAGGTTATTAAGTGAGGCTGTGGTCTCATGCCATTCTAATCCATCTTGTTTTATTTTTTGCTACTTTAGGTGTGATTCTCAGAGAAGCACACCAGTCTCACCTGGAACTTGCTAGAAATGAAGTTCTTTAGGTCCAAGCCCAGACCTATTAAAGTTGCATTATAATCTCAGGTGAGCCCACTGTTCTACTACACCATCAGAATTCAGTTCCTCATATTTGTTAGGCAAGCACTTTATTGACTAAGCCATCTTCTGACTCATAGGCTTTTCATTTTTAATTGTCTGTACACCACATTTTATACTCCTTTAAAGTCACAGTTTATATCTCAGTCACCTCTTTAGGTGACTGGGATAAAGAACAAACACTATGATTTTTTTCTATAACTTTCTACCCATGTTACTCTCAGTTCCCTCTCCCTCCCCTCCTCCTCCGATCCCCCAATCCTTCCAACCTCACCCCCACCCCATTCCATCTCCCCTCCACTCTCCAGAGAGGGTAAGGGCTTCCATGAGGGATTTTCAGAGTCTGTCATATGATCCCAGGCAGGGCCTAGGTCCTCCCCAGTGTGTCCAGGCCGAGAGAGCATCAATCCATGTGGAATGGGCTCTATTTGTATACCAGGAATAAATACTGCTCTACTCTCCAAGGTCCCACAGATTGCCGAGGCCTCTTCTCTGACACCCGGGTTGGGGTGTGTGTGGATCAGTTGCATGGTGGCCTCTCAGTCATCAGTCTGGGGTCCATGTATTCCCCCTTGTTTAGGTCAGCTGCCTCTGCAAACACTATGATTAAATGTACTGGTTTTAAAGTTCTGTGTGGCTCATCTCAGTGCTGTAGACCTTCTAGAATACCACCACAGTCCTATGCTTCTACTTGGAATGACAACGAAGTATGTTAGAAGGATCAAACCTGACTTCAAGACTAAGTATAAAACTACAGTAATCCTAGTCTTAGGTTGGGCAAAAGTGCAGGCATTTAATACCAAATATATGAAAAAATTTTGAATTGACTACTTACATGACATCAAAATGAAAAATGTTGAGCTGGGATGTAACTTGTGATAGGAAGGTTGTCTAGCACACACAACGGTCTGGGTTTAGTACACACACTTGTACGAGAAAGAGGATTTTATCTAATATTAAAAACAACTTTCAAAACAGAGGAGATTTGGGAGTATGAGTGCAAAGCCAGTGAAAACAAGAGATGGATTTTAGTAGATACACTGCCACAGATGTATGTTTATATATAGGTATTGTAGAATATTAGTTGAAGATGTGTTACATTCCTTTATGCTGTGGAATATTTATTTAATGATATAAAGATGTATTGCAGTCTTTTCTGTTGCATTTGTTTAACTCTGTAAAGCTGTGTTACTTTGCCTGTCTAAAACACCTGATTGTCTAATAAAGCATGGAATGGCCAATACCTAGGCAGCAGAATGGACAGGCAGGGACAATAAAAGGAGAAAAGGTAAGGGGGGAAGGGTGGAAAAAGGAGAGGAGAGGAGGATGCCAAGGGCCAGCTACCCAGCCACCTGGCCAGCAATGGAGTAAGAAATATAAAAAGACACAGAATAGAGAAAGGTAAAAGCCCAGGGGCAAAAGGTAGATAGCATAATTTAAGAAAAGCTGGCTAGAAATAAGCCAAGCTAAGGCTGGGCATTTATAAAAAGAATAAATTTCTATGTATTTATCTGGGAGCCGGGTGGCAGGCCCCCCAGGAGTAAAGAGTAAAAAACAAAACAAAAAACTACATATAGGCAATATATAGTTTATAGATATGTGACTCTACTATCATTTGTCATATAGATATACAAATTTAAATCACAATAAGGCACCACTATGAACTCAGTGGAATGATTAGTGAGCATGTGCTGGGGGGGGGGATGAGCAGTGGAGCAACCATGGGACCTTGGATGGTTCAGGTATTTTGAAAAACAGCTTGGCAGTTTCTTGTAAAGTTGAACATAAACTTGCTTTGATACCCACCAATCCCATTCTTTGGTTTTTACTAGAAACAATGAAAACTTCTATTTACACTAAAACTGTATACAGAGATTTACGGAGAAAAATTGGGAACAATCCAAAAGTTATAGGGAGGTAACTACATAACTGTACACCTTTGTCAAAACTCACAAAACTTCAACACTAAAAAAGGTGAATTTTACTATATGTAAGTTAAACTTCAATAAACTGAGCTACAAAAGACAGTATGGGCTGGACAAAAAATGGACGTTGGAGGGAAGAATGAGAGACAGGAAGATATTTAAAAGGCTGCTATAGGCATGTTAAGATCTGATGAGAATCTGGTCTAGGGTGTACCATTACATCAGGGAAAGCACAGAAAGGCACATGAAAATGGCTGGATGCTGAAGAGTCAAGACGTGCTGAGGTGAGGCTTATGTATCCCAACAACGTGTGCGGATTTTACCAAGACAGTAACACTGGAGGAGGCTCATTTCTGTGTGAAGATGTTCAGTGTGTACTTGGTAAGCCTGCATATAACAAAGCAGGCTGTTGATTTTACCAGTCTAGAACACAGGACAGGGTCTCATATGCTTGGGGATTACTAGTACACACATTTTTCTGGGCTAAGGCTTTGTGGTAAGTCAGGGAGAAGAACATAAATATCCCTTTCTCTCAGAAAAAGGTAAATAAAAGTTACATTCAAGGTGATGATGAGGCAGAAGCCAGAGAGCGAAGACAACTACTTCACATGCTGCTGAGAGGTACTGGGAATTGAGGACTTACATGTCCTGTTAGACTTGAAAGTACAAACTCATCAGTTACCACACCATGGACTACGTATATTCTGGTGTAGTAGTAAGGATGGAATCCACACTGCAGTGGGTTGGAGAGCAAAGTGACAGACAATGGTGGGTAGCTCTTTGGAAAAGTTTGGGTAGGAAGAGTTGGAGATTCAGGAAGGACTTCTTGATTTTAAAATAGGAGAAAGTGGATAATATTGAATGGCAATATTGGGGGAGGATAGAAGAGGCAGGAAAGAGAGCACAATTCAAATCTTTGAATGTTAAAACTGACAAAGCCCTCTTTTCATTTCTTTTGTCTGATGGTCCAGGAGTTCTGAAGACCAGAAAAGAAAAGGATTCTCCAAGTGGAAGACTAGAGCTGAGACTGAAAGCCACACTCTCTACTTTTTCTTTATAAAATTTGTTTATATGGTGTGTGTGTGTGTGTGTGTGTGTGTGTGTGTGTGTGTGTGTGTTTGCCGCTCGAGTGCCCACCTGTGGAGATCAGAGGATAACTCAGTCCTGTCCTGTCCCCAGCCCCATTGTTGGTTCTGGTGATCAAACACAAGTTGTCAGGCTTAGAAGCAAGCAACTTTACCTGCTGAGTCATCTCAGTGACCCAACAATATGTTTAAAATTCCTGGAGATTTAAAAGAAATAAAAAACAACAACAATAAAGAACCTAGAATGAAAACAGGAACCTTGTGTAATCCTATTATTCAGAATTAATTCCTATTAGCAATTTGAGGCATTTCCTGAGTCAGCAAGTTTTCTTTGTTTTTAAACATGTCAGATATACTTAGCACTATATGAAATTTAATACCAAAGAGTAAAACATCCTGCCTAATATCTTGTTAATTAACCATGCTAACTCTTGATAGGGGAATAAACATTTTCTTTGTAAGTTGTATAATATGTTTTCTTTTTCTCAAAGATTAATAAATATGAAAAAAATCTTCCACTCTGAATATAAGTTAGTTAAATCAAAAGATGGCTGTTGAATTGATTAGCAGCTATCACATTAACAAAATTGCCACATGAGGTTCATCAAGAACACAATTAACTCATGTCAGCACTGTGTGCCCTAGAAACCCATCTTGGAGTTGCCATTCATTTGAAAGTTCTGTGTACATCTGTATTTATGCTGCCACAAAACCAAGAGATGAACTGAGCAGACACCTTCAGCAAGCACCAGATGGAGCTGCTGTCTAAGCCACCAAACATGGACTTTGAGGGTTTCATTTTAAACACTAATAATGTTTGGAGACAAAGATGTTCAGTTAAAGATGCTGTCAAAACTGTGTTAATGCAATGCAGACTCTTAGCAAGAAGCTATACCACATGCAGGTCTATCCATAGCACAATCCTCTGGCTTCAAAGCCTTTGTGGAATGACTTAAAGGGCAATCGATAATACCTAGCAGCTTTTCCCGCTCAACAATGCCATTCGACAAACAGGAAATTTG